AGAGACGGACCAGGGAAATAATTTCCTAGAAGGAGATTGCTTTCTCAAAGCCCAAAATGATGAAATCAGCCCAAAATGATTTTAGAAGTTTTTTTAATTAAAAATATCTTTTTTCTTATAGAAAAGCCAAACCGAATTTCATTAAAAAAATTAACTATAATTCGACCTACAAAAGGATAACGGGTTAGCTGACCGATGCCACTTATAAGCCTTTCGATCCTCTTATTTATAAGCTAAAAGCTATTTATAAGTTAAAGTTAAATTTTTTTTTAAAAAAGAAGCTAAAAGTTGTTTGATAATTACATAAAATTTTTAATTTAAAAGTTACTTAAAAGCACATATTTCAAGAAAATTATCTCTCTCTATTTATAATTCTTCATTTAAAAAAAAAGCACATAATTCAACAAAAACAGATAAGAGCTTAAAAACAAGCTCCTCATAGGAGGAGAAGCTTTTAGTTTTCAGTTTTTTTCTTCACCGTAAAAAAAAAACTTTTCATTATAAATTTTTTTCTCAAAATCTGTTTGACGTAGTTTATACTTATAAGTAGCTTCTAGGTTAAAAAAGAGAGGATACAAACGGACATTATATCCTCGGCAAAAAAATTTATTTATTACAATTAATTAAATAATTACGCAAATATGACAGTTTTTAAAATTTTTACAGATCTATTGCACAATATGACGCCCCAATGGGGCGTCTTACCCTAGGGTAGAGATGCCCCATTGGGGCGTCACATGTGACGCCCAAAAGTGGCGTCACATTGTGCAACTTATATAATCCTCCACCCCTCTATTTACTCTTCACACCTCTTCTCTCTCTTCACACCTCTTCTTCTCTCACTCTTCATATCTATTCCCTTTAATTTAGTATTTGAATTTTATTTCTACTATTTAAGAATGAGCTTACGTCCTGATTCTGTTCGTGTTGTGTTATATTACAATGGTAGGAAGGTAGAAGGTCGACGAGGTGTCATGTTTGAAGGTGAAAAAAGGCCGACACGTATCCAATGCAACGCAACCATTGGCGAACTGCATAAGAGAATTCGGCAGAAGTTAAGTCTTCAAGGCAACCAATGTATCACTCAGATCACGACAAGGTTATGGCAATGTGATAAATACATTAGTTTGCAAGTGGTTGACGATGAAGACCTAGAGATGACAATGGAAGAATTTTTCAACCAGTCAAGGACAGATTTTCTGGAGTTGTATGTCAACATCGCCGCAACCGAGAATGTTCCCTTACCGGTGAGGTCAGTTGATTTAAATTCACTCCGTCTTCCATCTTTGTCTGCCGCTCATGCGTCTCCAGTTGGTAACTATTCTGAGGGAGATGAAAATGATCCGACTTGGGAAATGCACGACGACGACGACGACGATGATGATGAAAATATCGCAATGAAAGAACGTCTTCTGGGGGAGGATGCTAGTGCTTCCGAAGGAGATGAAGGTGCCGACATGGGTGCGTCTTAAATCCCAATATTCCATCAACCAGTGGTCGCGCAAATGCCGCAGTTGCATGACGTTGCGTCTGCCCCATTAGGTATTCATCATGAAGGTAATTGAAGTAATGTGTATATAGTTGAGTAAATACCTGATTTAATACCTGAATTAGGAAGTTTGAATTAAAAAGTTACAATCCGCAGTTGCAGGTGACGAAGCTGTTATTCATTTTTGGGAAGGAATTCTGCATTATTCCTACATTGATTGGAGTTATCGGAGCGAACAAGAATCTTGCACTGATGGTATGGTCTCAGGATCGGGTTCAATACAAGGTCCGTGGCAACTGGGTGACAAGTTATTTGTCAATCAAGAATTTGCAACAAAAAAAGATGTCCAAATGGCACTTAAGTACCTCCTCATTAGGGAGCATCAAGAAGCAACTGTAATTGAGAGCACACCTGCAAAGTTATCCATGAAATGTTGTGCGTATGATAAGGGTTTCCCGTGGCGCGTTAGGGCCATGAAACCAGTGTTTGGTGAAAATTGGAAGATTACGAGATGGGGTGGAGATCACAATTGTTTGAATGAGCACATTTCCCAGGGACATAGACAACTCAATGCGGACATTATTGCAGATCTCGTCATAGGTACGTATTTATTTACTGTAATGACATGTCAACGTTTACGTACTGCTGTGTAATTAAATTCGTTCGATGTTATCGATATATGGGTCCTCTTCAATGCAGGAATGATAAAGGAAGAACCATCTGTGTCAATCTCTTTGGTGCAAGAAAGGATAACCTCTAAATATGGCTTTAAAGTTTCTTACAGAAAGGCGTGGTATGCGAAGCAGAAAGCGATGGCAATTATGTAGTCCCAATGACTGGTGGTCTGAACCATCCCTGCGTCTCGACCACTGCACTCGGTGCCATAATCGGGACAGGGTCAGCAGCAACTCGCTCACGGGTACGTCCTAATCCACGTCCCTCAACTCGCTTACAGGGAACATCCAGGGACAACTGCGGATCTGGCTGTGTCTGGACTGGTGGTGCCTCCGGTCCAGGCTCATCAACTCGTGAATTCTCACGAAAGATACCAATAAGCTTGCCAATCTCCTCATGAATATACTCAATGCCGACTCAAGAAAACTCCTCCGCAGATGAGGCATGATACAACATCTCTAAACCGTCAATCTGTATAACAAAATGTGTTAGCAATGTCATAATTTAAGTTCAATGTCATAATTTAAGTTTAAATATGAATGTGTGCACAAATTTTACAAACTCACAATTCGTCCCAACTTTGCTGCCCTCCAAGAAATGTATCTCTTTCCCCTGGCTCTGTACCACTCCAAGTACGCATGATTAGGTGACATCAACCCTAGCAATGGAGGGGGCACGACAATATGATGGTGCCTGGCCTGCCATCTCGCAATCCATGGACTTAGCTTACGCCTCCAATTCTCTTCAACCTTCCCCCGTAGAGTATGATCATGTATCCCTCTCAACTTTCTGCTCGGATCCGGGATGGGTTGATTCAGTCCAAACTGTCGCATGCACCTATCCAGCATCCCAGCATTATGATCCCCAGAATGATCAGTCCACCGGGTATATAACCGATCTAAGTATGAGATACGCAAGTCGCCTGAATTATGGAACTCATTTGGCTGTGGAACCGCCCCAAATACAGCCCCACCAGCAGCGGGCCAATCCTCAGAGGTGGATCCGGTGACGACATCCCCGTCAGTAGGCAAGCCCGATATGCCTGCCACATCTTGCAAGGTGATAGTCATCTCACCTTGTGTCATGTGGAAAGTATGTGTCTCTGGTCTCCACCTCTCCACTAGAGCACTAATTAAAGGGGCATCGATCTGTGATAAAATATGCATTTAGAGCATGTTAATTTATGGTATTGAATAATTACATAAATACAAAACAACGTAAATTGCATACCTGAATATGTCGCATCCGGGCAACATGTATGAATCCAGCCTGTGTCAGGTAGTCTGCGACTACCTCTGGGATAGCGCCGGTAGGTGGCCCCCCAGATGGCTTCCCACGCCTGGTCTTTATTTTTTTGACATGCTCCGCATTCCACACTCGCTGTGAAATATGAGCACGTTGCGTCCTCTCACGAAGGACCTCCCATCTGTACGGCCCAAGTATGATGTACATGCTGGGATCGGTAGGCTATACATCCGATGCAGAACCCGATGAAGATGATGACTCAGCCATTACCCTCAACTATATAATATAAAATAACATTTAAATTAATCACATGTAATGCCCCATTTTATTTACAAATTAATTTAGCAATGCCATAATTTATTATCAAAAAATTTAAGCATATGCGTCATTTAATTTACTAGATTCGAAATTAATATGATAATGTTAATACGTAGTACATCATTTATTAGTAATTAAATAATAAAAAAACAATGGACAAAATTAATGTTATACTTACTGAAAACTTAACTCTAGGTCACTAATAACTTCATAAATATGGACTAATTATGACGCATCTCCCGCGTTAATAACATCATACATACAAAATTTACAAAGTCGCTATCACTATTTTCCAATTAACTAATTAATACGCTAGATCCTACTGTATAATTAAATATTAATAATACTAACTACGTAACATAAAAAGGGAAGTATCATTACAACATTCATAGCATTGCACAAGATTTATAAGTGACTATCCTAATGTTATAAGTCTCTAATATACGATCAATCATAACAACATGTATTGCTAACTAGCACCGTAATTTAAACGTATACATTGAAGGTATTACGACCTTACCTAATTCGGCAGAGCTTCGCTACGAACCGTGGTTAGAGAGAGGTTAGAGAGTGGTGAATGAGTGAGGAGTGCAAAGGAAAGTGGGGGTATTTATACTATTGCACAATGTGACGCCCCATTGGGGCGTCTTCTCCTTCACGAGAGACGCCTCAATGAGGCGTCATATGTGACGCCCATAAGAGACGTCACATTGTGCAATAGATCTATAAATACTCACCAAACTGCGATAAATACGTAATTATTTAATTAAATTGCAATAAATAAATTTTTTTGTCCTATATCCTCAAACCCAATTATGGTCAAATATAGCATATTTGTTTTATTTAAAAATTATAAAAATTTATATTCTATAAATAAAATAAAATGACAAAATTATTATCATTTTTTTTTGTTTTGGTAAAAGAAATTATTATCCATCCAATGTGTGCAGCTCAGTTGGTAATTTGGCGCTGAGTTAGTGGAGTTGGATATGTATTCGATTCCCGCTGAATGCATTCTTGGGGAGGGGGCTGAACCTTTAGCCATCACTGTTCCCCCGCACTCCGAATTAGTCCCATAGCCGACTCAAAGAGTCGAAGCTCGTGGAGATACCGAAGGAAGCCAACTCGTCTCAAAGAAATAATTAGAGTTGAGTAACTCCAAAAAGAAATTATTATCCATTAAAGTCCCACCACACTCCATTTGGATATAGGTCCCAATAGCAAGAAAACAGACTCCACACTATTTCAAAATTACCCCTTCCCCTTCCAAACTCTCTCTCACTCTTTGCGTGAGCTTATGGATATGTTAAACAGCTCCACCGCAGAGCAGGATCCGAAATACACGAATCCGACCCGCCATCACCTGGAGTTTCCATCCGGGTTGACGCCGGAGGAGTTTGAAGAACTGAAGCCCTCCGTGACGGAGCACCACACCTACCCGGTGGCCACGCGCCAATGCTCCTCCCTCGTAGCGCAGCGAATCCACGCGCCGCCGCAAATGGTGTGGTCCGTGGTGCGGCGCTTCGATAACCCCCAGGCCTACAAGCACTTCATCAAGAGCTGCCAAGTGAAAGAGGGTTTTAAAATGACCGTGGGTTGCACCAGGGACGTGAACGTCATCTCCGGTTTACCGGCTGCTACCAGTACCGAGAGGCTTGACCTACTAGACGATGAACGACACGTCATCGGTTTTACCATCGTCGGAGGAGAGCACCGTCTTAGGAATTACCATTCCGTCACCTCAGTGCACGGGTTCGAGCGTGACGGGAAGATCTGGACCGTTGTTCTGGAATCGTACGTGGTGGATGTGCCAGAGGGTAACACCGAAGAGGACACGCGTCTGTTTGCTGACACAGTTGTGAAGCTAAATCTGCAAAAGCTCGCGTCTATCACCGAAGGGATGAACAGTGACGGTGATGGTAAGTCATAGTTGCTGGTGAGGTGACCTAAACCCGAAAAAAGAAGGGGAGTTGAATTAAAAAAAAAAAAAAAAGCATTATATATTCTTCTCTTTCCTTTTTTATTTTTATTTTTGGAATCTCTTTGGTTTTTTTGTCTTTTTATTTGAACATGTTATTTTTCTTTTGATTTTCCCACTTTGAAATTATCACCACATCCTTTGTTTGTTTTGATGGATCGGTCAAAAGTAGGGGTGTTTATCAATCGATTCAAATCTTGGTAATCGAATCGAAAAATCGATAATCGAATAAATCAAAAATCGAAAACCGAAAAAATCGTAAATTTTAATTAAATTGGATCGATTTTTAGATGGGTTGACGAAAATCGATCCAATCCAAACCGATCCAATATATTAATTTTCATCTACCTACTTGGATCTTTTTTTAATCATAGCCTAAAATTTTTTAAACCCAATACCCATTAACCCATCAACTAAATTTAAGAAAAAATCTAATCATATCTTATCGACACAATTTTATATTTATAATTTCATATTTCATTATAAAAAAAAAATTATATTATAGTTTACTAATGCTTTTGTATTTAAAAAAAAATAAAATTTATAAAGTCAATATATATAAAATATGTTATTTGCACAACAATCATGAAATAAATTTTAGAATTTTTAAAAAATCGCAAATGGATCCAATTCAAACCGATAAAAATTAGATTGGATTGAATCGGATTTAAAAAAATTCAAACTGAATGGATGATTATATGATCAAACTGAAGAAATTGGATCAGATAAATTTTGCTTCCAAAATCGATTCAATTCAGACCGCGAACATTCTAACCAAAAGATTCAAAAGTTGAGGGCATTTCCGTCAATATACGTGGACTTGAAATGTTAAATTGTGGATGCTGATTTCTAATAACCTCTGTATGAATATACTGTGGTTCCTATATTTCTTGTCACTTCAGTTCTAAGTTTCTTTTTGAGGGGTTATTTATTCTGAGTGTGTGATATAAAATAGTTGTTAAATTAGTTGAATAAATAATTCGTTATATTATTTTTTAAAATAGACAAATCAGTTAGAGAAATAGGTAAATAAATATGTAATTAAGTCATTAATTTAATTTACTCCAATAAAATTTTATACAGATAGCTTAGCTCTTCTTTTGATTTTGCATATAGAAACTTAAAACTGGCGATTAATTTATTATAATTGATATAAACAATTATTTTAACCATGTATAACTTTTTATTTAATTTAGTATGAGGGGAATATGAAGAAATGATAGTAAAGATATGTATCATAAAATATTTTAATATTTTTTAAATATTAGTTTAAGAACAGAGCTAGCATACTTATGTGTATAATTTATTATTTAATTTACTATGAGGAGAATATAAATAAATAATAGCAAAGAGATGTATGGTAAAATATTTTAATATTTTTGAAAAATTAGTTTAAGAACAAAACGAGCAAATTCATGTCATTGACAATCTCCTTTTTTTTCCTATAAACAATGCGTGCACGGTTGCAATTGGGACCACGATCCATTTGTTATATTTTTTCATTTTTATTATTGAAATATCATACACAAGAAATATTTTCATAAAATGTCAGAGGCATGTTTAAGGAGAGAAAATATAGGGCTCCCTGCCCCTTGGTCCCCCAAGACACAAAAAAGTAGAGAGAAAGAGGAAAGAAGAGAAAGAGAGGGAGAAAAAAAAAAAAAGGGACCGGTCCATTGACCAGAGTCAATCCATTGAGTCATTGACAGGACCTGCACGTCCTTAGTTGAGTTTTTTTTTTTTTTTTTTCATTTCCAAAGATATTTGTTGAGATATATAAAATATTAATGTAGTCTCACCCAACAGTTTAAGCTTTGAGTTGAATTAGTTCTTTACACGGTATCAAAGCCTCGTGTTCCAGATTCGATCCTCATCGCCTCCACTTTTTTTCTAGTGAAATTTCTTTCTTCGCATAGGAAGGTGGGCCTGTGCATTATCCACTCTTCGAGCCCAGTGGGTTCTTGTGTGAAGGGACGTGTTGAGATATATAAAATCACTTAAGCTTTTAGGTTGAATTAGTTATTTACAATATTATTCGTACTACCTTAATTAAATGATGAATTATTTTAATGATTGTTTTGCATATAACAAAATTTGGTGTGGTAATATTATATCTAGAACACCTATATTAACAAAGCTTGATTTAGTAATAAAGAATTTGAAAAATTTGTATTAAGTTATATATTTAATTTTCACCATTATATATATAAAAAAAAATCATTTAATGAACCTAGCAAGTGAGGTGAGGCCTAGCTCATGTTTTTCTACTTGGTAACAAAGAAACATTTGCTAGAAGCAAATGCTACTTAATATTATATATTCATGGCATTTGACCATCCATAATAAAAATAACATGTTATATAAATATAATACTCTATAAATAAAATTATGTATTACATATTTTCAATATTCTTATAACAAAGTATATTTTTTGTTATATTGATTTATTAAGTTGATATTTCTTACAATAATAACCTTGCTAATTAGGGAGTTCCCATTGATTCAGGAAGTTCCCATAATTTCATTAATAGGGAATTAGCTGAGACATTGAAGTTGTCCATGTTGCGATCTTCAAGGATGAGGGTTTTTATGGGCAATGGGGATTCCTACTCAGTGACAAGAAGTGTCTCCAAGTGCCATTGCTCATTCAAAGTCATTCTTTTCTAACTGATCTTCATGTTGTTGACCTGACTGATTTGAGTATTATTTTAGGCATGCCTTGGTTGGTGACTTTAGGCCGTGTAACTCACAACTATGGTGACCTTTCTATGGAATTTACTTGGCAAGGTACAATGGTGAAACTGCAAGGTATTCAACCTGGTCAGAATATTGCTGATACATTTCCAAGGGAAGCTGCTTGTTCTACATTAATTGCACTTAATTCAGAACCGAATCAACCTGAGGTAAATGGTGATCTGTTATTGTTAAAAGAGGTTGTGTGGGGTAAGCTGTGGGATATTTTGGTCAAGTGTCAAAGGGTTTTTGAACTACCCAAATCCCTACCTCCTTTCCGTGGCATGGATAATGCAATTAAGTTGCTGGATGAATCCAAATCTGTGAAGGTAAAACCTTACAGATATCCACATCATCACAAAACTGAAATTGAAAAACAGATCACTGACTTGCTAGCATCTGGTTGGATTCAACAAAGCCACAGTGCTTTTTCCTCACCTGTTTTGTTAGTGAAGAAGCATGATCTTACTTAGCGCATGTGCATAGACTATCGTGCTTTAAATGCTATGACAGTTAAGGATGCTTTTTCCATACCAACCATTGATGAATTACTTGATGAGTTATTTGAGGCTAAGGTGTTTAGCAAATTAGATTTGCGTTCGGGCTATCATCAAATTAGGATGAAGGTTGAGGATATTCCTAAAACAACCTTTCGTACTCATGAGGGTCACTATAAATTCAAAGTGATGCCATTTGGTTTGACCAATGCACTGGCTACATTTCAAGCGGCAATGAACAGAATTTTTAAGCCATTTCTAAGGAAATTTATAGTTGTTTTTTTCGATGATGTGCTGATTTATAGTGCATCTATGGAGGATCATGTTCATCACTTGGATACAGCATTGACTTGTTTGTTACAGAATGCATTTTTTGTGAAACTCAGTAAGTGTGAGTTTGGGGTTTCTGAAATCTCTTACCTTGGTCATGTTGTTATTGTGGAAGGAGTCAAAGCTGATAAAAAGAAGATAGCAGCTATGATTGATTGGCCCACACCACAATCTATTAAGCAATTAAGAGCTTTCCTTGGGTTAACTGGCTATTATAGACGGTTTGTTAAAGGCTATGCTTCCTTGGCCCACCCCTTGACAGAATTACTTAAGCAACCCAAGTTTTCTTGGAATGATCAGGCTACAGTTGCATTTGTTGCATTAAAACAGGCTATGTCTACCACACTTGTGCTTCAATTACCAGATTTTTCTTCTTCCTTTGCAGTGGAATCTGATGCTTCTCAATTAGGAGCTGGTGCTGTGTTACTGCAAAAAGGGAAACCTGTGTCTTACTTCAGTAAGAAGTTTGGTCCTAGATTGGCTGTTTCCTTTGCTTATGTTAGAGAATTATATGCCATTACTGAGGCTATTAAACGCTGGAGACACTACCTTTTGGGTTTTCATTTTATGATCAAGACTGATCATCAAAGTTTGAGAGAACTTTTGAAGCAAACCATACAAGCAGTTGACCAACAGAGGTATATTTCCAAATTGATGGGATACAATTTCACCATCGAATACAAATCTGGACTTTCCAATGTTGTAGCTGATGGTCTTTCTAGGTAATTTCCAGATGAGGAACAAGCTGTTTGTCATGCCTTACATTCTGCTCCATCGTTGGATGTGTGGTTGCAAGTGAAGGAGGAGAATAAGACAGATCCCGAATTATTAACTATTCATATGCAGATGGATGATGGCACAATGTCACATAGTGATTTTTCTAGGAAGGATGGCATGTTGTTCTATCGGAATCGATGCTTCTTAGGCTCTAATTCAGCTTTGAAACTTTTATTGCTGACAGAAGCTCATGCCACACCCATAGCTGGGCATGCTGGAGTCCAGAGAACATTTTTGCGCTTATCCACATATTTCATGTGGAAGAATATGAGGCAGGATGTTAAAAAATATGTCAAGGAATGCACTGTTTGCCAACACATCAAGCATTCCACTCAGGTACCCTTTGGTTTATTGCAGCCTTTGCCAATTCCTCAAGCTATTTTTGATGATTTGACCCTGGATTTTATTACTGCCCTTCCTAAATCAAATGGCTATACCACTATATTGGTAGTTGTTGATAGACTATCCAAATATGGCCACTTTGGTCCCTTGCCTACATCCTATACTGCAGTTATGGTAGCCAATATGTTTTGTGACATGGTAGTGAAGCATCATGGTTTTCCAAAGTCTTTGGTTTCAGACCGTGATCCAATTTTCATGAGCAAGTTCAGGAAGCAACTTTTTCAATTAAGTGGTACGAAATTGAATGCTTCCTCGGCTTATCATCCCCAATCTGATGGCCAATCTGAGGTTACCAATAGGTACCTTGAACAATATTTGCGTGCTTATTGTTCTGAGCAGAATACTGACTGG